GGCCACAAGTTCACTGTCGATCCAGCTCATCAACAGGGACAACCATCACAACAATGGCGAGCCGCCTGGCCGACAGCTCCTGAAGCGCCCATGACCACTGCTGGGACTTCTGGAATGCACCTGATCTTGCGGCGTCAGGACTCGGGCTTGGGGCGTGAGGGCCTGCAACTGCATGACAGTTCGATGCTCCCAAAACCGAAACAGAACTTTCAGAACGCCTTGAAGCGTGGGCTAGCAAGACAACAAGTAGTTTACACACATGCAGGATTGCGTGTGTACATGTATGTATGTGCTCTATGTGTACATATATACATACACATATACATTTACATTATACGTATACATCTGCCTTTATACATACACTACTTGTTACATGGAGTCTTGTATCTATCTTCGTACGTGTACGTATAGAGTAGATATGCAACTGTCGGCATAATGTCGCAGATTTGATGCTCTGTGATCCGTATCCTCTGTCGAACGACCTATCTGTCTATTTATCTGTTTGCTTTTTCGTGCCAATGTGTGTCTCTCCATGCCTGCTTTGCGGATCCAGCAGTCCAAATTTAGCCCGGGTACTGAGCAAAGCATTCCGATGGATGACATTGGCCTCCAGAGCATTCTCACGCAATGCCTGCACAAAGGATAACATTTCTGGCTGGTTTGGCGGGGTCACGGCCTTCGGTTCGTGGGTGTGCAAGCGACGGAAGATGCATTTTCCGTTCCTCGACTATGTGGTTGCTGTCGAGCACTACAAGCGAGAGAGAAAACTTTGGAAGCCCTCAGCCCCCAAGCCAAGAGCCAGTCCACATGGACAGCCTGTCCAAGATAGCTGCATAACATTGACAACACAATCCGGCAGTCTCAGGCGAAGGACAACAAAACCGACGAGGACCACAACAACAAAAAGACTAAGCCAACCAGTACTCATCCCGCCGACTGAGAAAGGCGAAAACGACGACGACCACAACTACGACGACAATAGTTTGCTGCTGCGGTCACCGCGACCACAACCATGCCTGCTCTTGGTGCCACTGCTGCTGCTGATACTGACTGGCACTTTGCAGTCAAACTAGTCATAATGAGGAAGCTGGCCTGGCTGGCCTCCACGTGCAAAGCATGAACTGGTGAAAACTTGCTGTACAAAACGCACTTCCTTCGCAGCCTGACAATGTGGCTCCCTGGGGTCAATCGAATGCGGGATCGGCCACGTACGATGAGAAGCACAAACAGGCAAAAGCAACAACAAGTTCGGTACAGACCTTACAACTGCAACTGCAGGCAGCAGTCCGGGAGTTTGGCAAATTAAAACGTAACTCGTGATAAAATGATTTAAGTCTATCGCGACGACCGATTCCAGCAACAATGTTCAAACCACTACGAGGTGCCAATACAAGAGCATTATTACCATTGTCGTGGACATCGTTATCTTCTTCGTCATCATCCTCATCGTTACCACTACTTCACTACAATCCTCATCACAATCATCATCGTCACGCTCGTCGACTTCGGCGCTACAGGCCAGGCCTGGATCACTTCCAAGGCCTCTCGCCATGCCCGGACCACTCCCAGAGCGCGCAGCTTGCGCGTCCCGGCCTTGCGAACGACAACCAGAGGCAATTGAATTTAGGTCTTTAGGTTTGACGATGATATGAGGGCCTATTGATTGAATTAAGGGCTGCAACCGAGTCATGCGCGTGTAGATCGACGTCAGCTGTTTCGGTTGGGCTGGGCAGTAGCTGGTACTAGTTTGCAGTTAGTCGTCGTAGTAGTAGTCGTAGAAGTAGTCGTAGTAGTAGTAGTTGTAGTAGTAGTAGTAGTAGTAGTAGGAGGAGGAGGAGCAGGAGGAGTAGGAGTAGGAGTGGGGGGAGTACGAGTAGGAGTAGGAGCAGGAGGAAGTGGCTGAAAGTTGTTGTTACTAGCAAACCAACGATCTGCGGAGTGCCTCCAATATCCGGCAACTTCAACCGTTCCTGTCGATCTTCAACCCCCACGGCCGGCGCATCGGAGGGCTGAAAACACATCATCGAACCCGAAGCCCGAGTCCGCACCTTCGAATTCTGCCATCGCTTTGCAGGCAGCCCAATGGCTCCAACTACTCCACGCTTCTTCCATACATCTCCCAATTCCCGCAATCCCCCAAGAACCCTGCGAAATCCCACGCCCCTAAGTCCAGTCAAAGCCTTAGAAGGGCGACGGAGCAACGCAGTCACACAATTCGGCGATCCCGATACCTTTTGGCCTGCCAGTCCCGATGAACCAACGAAAATCGCCTGGAACCCTTTCCGAAAACCTGGAGGTGTAGAATTGTAAACTCTCTTACAACCTTATGAGACAAAGAGGTCGTCTGCAAGAAGAGGCCAACACAGCTGTCTCAAATTATTAGGCTTCAGGGCAGGTACAGTGGATGCACTGAGCGAATCGAGACACATTCTCTATACAACTGCCTAACTAATTTAGCTTATGAAATGGATCTACTGGCAGGGTACCGCTTGCCTAAGCCCTCGCCCAGGCCGGCAGCAATTTCTCCGGCGAGGCAGAGAGCTCAGGGAGCTATGACTGGGGCTCCCCTCCGAAACAAAGAGGTGAAGCGACCGACGCGTCTTTGGTCAGTCCCAGCCGCTGGCGAAGGAAGCCCTTCAGCCTTCAACCCACTGGAGGCTTTTTGGAGAGGGAGCCCAGCCTCTGAAGCCTCAGCTCTTCGAGCAACTTGGCTTCCTTCCGGGCTTCGGACTGTCGCCGGGCCTCCTCCTGCTGTGCCTGATCTGCAATCATCCTGCCCTGGTCTGTTCTGGTCTTGACTTGTGTCAGCCTTTTCGGCATGTACTCGTCGAAGCTGATGTACTCTGGATCGTAGGATCCAGGCCCCGGCGAGGGTACGGGGTTTTGCATGCGAAGACTGGAGCCAGAGAGGCTCCAAACCGGCGTGCCGTTGTGGCGCCGCATCCGCCCAGAAATCCGACTTGGAGCTCCCGTCGAGTCGCTAACCAAGTTGCCCGAGTGGCCCTGGCGAGATGTCGCTGCAGGAGAAAGTGTCTCGGGGGTGTCCGGACCTTTTGTGCTGGGTGGTGAAGCCGTCTGCGGCAAGCGCTTTGGCAACACGAATCCAATCCAGCGGCTGCGTGGTGTCAAGGTTCGCGGATCGTGCCGCTGCAGCCTCTCTTGCGCGAGATGCACCCTTCGAAGCTGCGAAAGCTGCGACAGTGGGACCAGCTGCACACGTGGCCGACTTCGCTCTGCCACTGCCAAGATGACGGTCAGATTCGGAGATCTCCTGCTCCCGCTTGTGTGCTGCCCTGCGAGGCTTGGCAGGCTAGGACTTGAAGGACTGGATTTCCCGCCCCCTTCCGCTGGCACAGAGGCGGTGCAATCTGCGGCCCGGGGCCAGGGCCTGGCATAACTTCCCCCTGTGCTTCGCAGTGTCTTGGCTTGGGCGTGCAAGGCAGCTGCGGCAGCTTGGGGGACGACACTTGCTCCCTCCAATGGCGTGGTGCTCTGGGCAGTGGGAATGGGGGCACCTCTGGGACGAGCTTCACCCTCGGCGCCGAGGCACCAGATGCACCAGAGGCACCAGAGGCACCATGAACCAACACGACCAGCGGCGGGCAGGGCCCCCAGGGCCCCCAGGAAGGCCCGCAAGGCGAAGTCCAAAGAGGGGGCAGCGGTGCTAGCACTGGAGCTTCCGAGCCCTTCCCCTTCGTCGGAGGCCCCGACCGCCGTGGATCCGAAAGCTGCAGGTGAGAAACACAAGGAACAACAGCACTTGGAATTCCTTGATGAATAAGCACCGCGCCACATGCAATACCAAGCATGGTTGCCAAGATCACAGCCCACATCCAGTCTTGGAAAGGACACACTATCACGAAAGCAACCATGCTGGTGGTTGTGTAGGTTGTTGAAGTCCTGCTTATGGTTTGTGTGCTGGAAGTGCTGGATGTCAACGTGAACGTACTGGTGGTGGTGATGGATGCACTTGAAGTACTTGAACTGCTTGTGCTGAATGTGCTACTACTCGAAGCACTGCTGGTGGATGTTGTGGAGGTGCTGCTGGTGCTGCTGGAGCTACTGCTGCTCGAAGTGGACGTGGAACTGGTCATGCTGCTTGAGCTGGAGGCACTAGTCGTGGACGTGCTTGTGATGGTGCCTGATGTCGTCGTACTAAGTGTGGTGCTTATTGATGTGCTTGAGCTTGAGGTGCTGGAAGCGGATGTGCTGCTGCTACCCGTCAAGCTAGATGTGCTTGACGTGCTTGTGCTAGTTGTCCATGTTGTTGTGGTGCTGATGGAGGATGTGACACTGCTTGAAATGCTGCTCGTTGTTGAGGTGCTAGAAGAACTGGACGTGCGGCTGATGCTGCTGCTGGTGATGGAGGTTGCCGTTCCAGACGTGCTGGTTGATGTGCTTGACAAAGTTGCACTTGCTGTCCATGTGGTAGAAGTAGCACTCGAGGACGTTGAAGAACTGCTGCTAGTACTGCTGGAGATACTGCTCGTCCTCGATGTGCTCGACGAACTGTCAGTGTGGCTGGTCGTGGTGCTGGAGCTGGAAGTTGCCGAAGTGGATGTGCGTGTGACAGACGTCATGGAACTGCTGCTAGTACTGCTGGAGCTGCTGGTTGTGAGGGAGGTGCTAGATGAAACGGAAGTTTGGCTGGTCGTGGTGCTGGAGCTAGACGTTGCCGAAGTGGATGTGCGTGTGACAGACGTCATGGAACTGCTGCTAGTACTGCTGGAGCTGCTGCTTGTGAGGGAGGTGCTAGACGAAGTGGATGTGCTTGTTGTAGACATTGTGTAAGTTGTCGAGGTGGTGGTGACCCGATACAACCAGACATCACCACAGACACCGCTTCCGTTGTATCCGCCGTGTATGTAGATGACCTGGTTCGTGCCGTCCCAGGCAGCCACATGAGACCAGCGTCCCGAGGGACCAGCGTGCGCCGCTATCAGACTCCATGTGTCGCCGATCGAGTCGTACTTCCAAAGGTCTCGTTGGAAGACACCATCGTTGCCGCCGTGCAGCCAGAGAGCACACGCCCTGTTGCATCCCACACTCCCGCATGTCCCGACCTTGCCGTCGGACCTCCGCCAGCTAAGACTGTAGCCCAGCTGAGAGTGGAAGCATCCAACGTCAAGGTCCACAAGTCTCCCAACGGAGAGTCGTTGTAGCCACCATGCATCCAGAGTGTCTGGCGAGCCCCGTCCCACACGCCAACATGATGCGAGCGTGGCGGCGGGGCCCCGTCTGGCGCCAGCGGTGCCAATTGCTGCCAGCTGCGCGCATTCGTGTTGTAGCTCCACAAGTCTGACAAGCGCTTCGTGCCCGTCCAGCCACCATGCACCCAAAGAGAGGAAGTGCTCGATATCCAAACGGCAACGTGCGCCTGCCTTTCGCAGGGAGCAAAATCGTCGTTGTATTCAAGGCTCCATGTCCCTGATTGGAGCTTCCAAACATCTCGAAACCAGGTCGCTGTTTGGCTGTTGTGCCCGCCATGCACCCAAAGCGCCCCACTGGTGGAATCCCAATCCGCAGCATGCAGAGCACGTGCCGCCGGCGAGGCGCCATTCAGTATCCGGGTCCATGTTGCAGACTCCGCGTCGAACGACCACAAATCTTCTTCGAGGTTGCTGCCAGCATGGATGAGGAGCACTTGCCTTTGCTTGTCCCACGCGCCGACATGCTCGGAACGTGCGGCCGGTCGGAGGGGGGCTGAGGCATCCGTCATGTCTGCCAAGCGGTTCCACTCTCCTTTAGCGCTGCAGCACAACCAAAGCAGCCGGACGACTTGACATATCATGACATGCTGGCATTAGGACGCCTAGCAACACTACATGCTACACTGCATGTCAGTGCTCAAAGCCTTCTTGCCGCAAGATGTGCTGCACCGACTGCGATCTTTGCTTTAGTTTAGCCATGTCCTAACAAGTCCTGACCAGTCCTGTCTCTGCAACACTTGGAATGTCTAGCTGCACTTCAATGGCCCAAATTTGCTACCGCTAATCCTTGAGATGAGGCGGTTCCTGGAACCACACCACAGCGAAACCCATCGTGCAGAGTCGCAAGTGTCAAAACGGCCATGCTCAGCAAACCACAAACCGGCACAGACGTCTGGTTACATGAAAGGACAATGGAGCCATCATGCACAGCATGTCTTCGGGTATGGCACGGATTGCTCAGCAAATCATCTTCTACTATGCATGTCCATGTCACTCTGTTCCTAAAACATGTAGCAAATCAAATCAACAGGTCCTGCAACTTGCGCCTACTTCCACCCGAGCTGCTGCAAACTTCTTCCGAAGCATCCCTCGGCAGCGGCATCTGTTTTGATACTGGCGACTGATGAATCCCCACCTGCAAACAGGAGGTGAACCTGCAGACGTGTCTTTGGTCTGCCCGGCAAGTTTCGGGCGTCAATCAGCCGCCGCAGTCGTTAGCACATCGGAGAGCCTCTTGGAGGGCCCCCGCCTCTCTGCTTCCAGTCTTCTAATACAAGCGATGGACCGAAGGTCCATGTCGGTGTGTTGTTGTGCCATGCGTCTCGGGGCGGCGAGCAACCGTGAGAGCTGTCCTGCCGGTAAGAGCTGCCACGTGGAGGGGAGCTGTTGGATCGCTGTGGATGGGAGCGCAAGCTTCGTCCGGTCCCGGTGAGTGGAGTGCAAGGGCTTCAATAGCTTCAGGGTGGCGAAAACACCTTGGCTCGAGGATGCCTGGGCTGGGGCAGCTCTAGCTCTCGTTTGAAGGGCTGCCCTTGGGCTACGTCGGGCAGCCAGAGCCCGAGAAACCGGCTGCGTGGGCTGAGGTTCCTTGGATCCCGCAACACGGGCCTCGCCGGCCTGCAGCCATGCGACTCGGGGGCCACGGCGGCCAGGCGTGATCGCGGGACCAGCTCCTTCCGTGGAACGCCTGCGCTGCCTGGCACGACCTTCAGCCGAACACTCGCAGCACTAACACCTATCAGACCTGTCCTAATCCGAAAAGGAGTGCTTGTGCTTGGCGAGCGCTGGGCAGTTGGCTCGAGCCTCGTTAAGCTGGGAGCCAGTGGACTGGGCTGTCCTGGTATCGCCTGCCTTGCCTCCAAGGGACTCGGCACATCCGGGAGGTAGCTCTTCTCCCAGGCACAATGGGTCTGCATATACGTACATGCGTGCGGCAGCGGAAGGAGCAAAGCAAGTTCACTCCATGGCCGCACTTTTGTCTCTCTCCGAAGGATGGCACCGGCACCAAATGCTGTCGAAGGCCAACCTGGTGGCGGCTGTGGCACGAGCTCCACACGCGGTCGGGTGCGAGGGGCCCAGGCAGTCACGGTTGGCGGAGTTCTTCGTGCATGGGTAGCTCCAGCCTGCTGAAGAGGCCACGTCCCCGGCGAAAAGGTTGGAGGGGGTTTGGGTGGGAGTACATGCGGTATGCTGTCTTGTGGAATAACTTGACTTCGAGCTGGCACGCGTTCGCTCGATTGCATGGGGGAGCCGAAAGGGGGCAGCTCCGGGAGTGTGGGTGATGGCTGCGGCTCATGCCCCTGCTGTCGCGAAATGGACACCTGGGACAGGAAAGCTATTGACTCCGGAACCAACCACGTCCTCGGAGAAACCCGTGAAGCACCCTGGAAGTGAACAAGAACGACCAGCGGAGCGCGTGGCGCGCAAGGGCCCAAGCGCGGAAAGACAGGAGCCTCCTGAGTCCTCCGAGCTCTTCGCTTCAGCACCGGCAGCACCTGTGGCTCCGGGGGCCGGTCTGTGAAAGACACGAAGGGCTGGACCGCTTCCAGGCTGGAGAAGCTGCACACAGCGCCCAAAACCAAAAGGACCATACCGATGAGTGCAGCCAGAAGCCAATCCGGCCAAGGAACTGGGATGCAAAACTCGGTTGTGCTGGTGGTCGTAGCTGTCGTTGAAGTAGAAAACGTGGCTGTCGCTGTGCTGCGGGTGTTGCTCGTGCTCGATGACGAAGTGCTACTTGAGGTCGCCGTGTGGGATGTGCTAAATGTCAGGGTAGAGGTTGTGCTCATGGTGGTACTGTAGCTATGGCTGCTGGAACTGCTGCTTGATGAACTCGAGGTCGTTGAACTGGAAGTAAATGACATGCTCGTGCTGGATGTTCCTGTTCTCGATGTTGTAGTTGTGCTGCTCCTGCTACTGGAACTGCTGCTTGTTCGTGAGATACTGCTGGAAGTTGAAGTTTGGCTGCTTGATGTGGAAGTCAAGCTTGAGGTGTGTGTCGTCGAGGTTGTGGTGACCGAAAACGACCAGAGGTCCCCACAAACACTTCCGTTGTATCCGCCGTGTATGTAGATGACCTGGTTCGTGCCGTCCCAGGCAGCCACATGAGACCAGCGTCCCGAGGGACCAGCGTGCGCCGCTATCAGACTCCATGTGTCGCCGATCGAGTCGTACTTCCAAAGATCTCGTTGCAGCACACCATCGTTGCCGCCGTGCAGCCAGAGAGCACGCCCTGTTGCATCCCACACTCCGGCATGTCCCGACCTTGCCGTCGGACCTCCGCCAGCTAAGACTGGAGCCCAGCTGAGAGTGGAAGCATCCAACGTCAAGGTCCACAAGTCTCCCAACAAAACGTCATTGTAGCCACCATGCATCCAGAGTGTCTGGCGAGCCCCGTCCCATGCCGCAAAATGATGCGAGCGTGCCGGCGGTGCCCCGTCGGGTGCCAGCGGTGCCAATTGCTGCCAGCTGCGTGCATGCGTGTTGTAGCTCCACAAGTCTGACAAGCGCTTCGTGCCTGTCCAGCCACCATGCACCCAAAGAGAGGAAGTGCTCGATATCCAAACGGCAACATGCGCCTGCCTTCCGCACGGAGCAATGACGTCGTTGTATTCAAGGCTCCATGTCCCTGATTGGAGCTTCCAAACATCTCGAAACCAGGTCGCTGTTTGGCTGTTGCGCCCGCCATGCATCCAAAGCGCCCCGCTGGTAGAATCCCAATCCGCAGCATGCAAAGCACGTGCCGCCGGCGAGGCGCCATTCAGTATCCGGGTCCATGTTGCAGACTCTGCGTCGAACGACCACAAATCTCCTTCGAGGTTGCTGCCAGCATGGATGAGGAGCACTTGCCTTTGCTTGTCCCAAGCGCCGACATGCTCGGAACGTGCGGCCGGTCGGAGGGGGGCTGAGGCATCCGTCATGTCTGCCAAGCGGTTCCACTCTCCTTTGGCGCGCCAGCACAACCAAAGCAGCCGGACGACATGACATATCATGACATGCTGGCATTAGGACGCCCACCAACATTACAACATCCCTAACCGTCCTGTCCCGAACGCTTCTTGTTCTGCAACGATTGATATTAGCTGCAAAGCACTGGCCCAAGATTTTGACCACCAATCCTTCGGATGAGGTGGTTCCTCGAACCACATCGGCCACAACACAATTCGTCGCACCAAAGTCTCATACATACCGACATACATGACTAATTCTCAGCATGATCACCCCACAACAAGCAAGGTCACATGACCGTGGCGTGATCGCCACTCATCAAGTTGGACAATGACAACGCAGTGAAGTTTACAACGAAACGCACATCCCTCAAGATGCAATCGCAGCGGGATGATGGAAAGTGCGGATATATATTCCGGAATGTCCAAAGTGCCACAGGGGCATCTTTCACCATGCCGCTCAGCTCGTAGTACCGGGGCTCCGAAACATGCGGAGGTGTGTTGCATATCTTGAAGTTCGATCCTGAACCTCGGTCCTCCAAGCCCTCCACGATCTTCATGCACCTCCACTTGCTTTGCAAAACGGTGGAGATGGCCTTGCAGTGGAACAACTGGAGCCGTGTACCCATGATCTGAGGACGGCCTAGGAAGGAACTTCTTCTTGCGGTCATCCAAGCCGTGTCGATTCTGTTGGTGGCCGATTTGCCCCAGAGAGGGCTGTATCTCGGCGTTAGCATGATTTGCGCTTCTCGGACGGCTTCATTCCCAGTCGGAAGGCAGCTGCAAGCAGCTCTCACAACCCTGTCCACAACACTCAGCTGTCTGATATTGGTGCAGGCCCGGGCACACTCTCAGCTTCGGTGCCGTCCCATATGGCGTTCTGCAGATCGCTAACTTCCGCCCGGGTCGGGACCGGGCTCTCGATCCTCGGAAACTGCAAAGTTCCGACAGTGCAATGTGACTCGTGTGACATGTGGCTTCTTACGAAACAACACCAGGCTACCTCCGATACTTGCCAAGCTTGGCAAACCGGTGACGGGTTCCTCCTATTCCCTCTATTGTTGCTCGATGGATCTGGTCGCCCTGCACTTGCACCGTAAGGCCCCAGTGGAGGCCGCTACACCGCTACACTATTGCGCTCCGCCAAGCCACATGCTCTCGACCGTCTCGACCATCTGCGTGGCGTTGATGACGAAAAGTCCGGCATCCTCGCAGCAGTCGGCACAGAGTGCAAACTGCGAACTCTTGCATAGCTCTATGTGTCTATGTACATAAGAACTGACATAAGAACTGGAACTTGCGAAGCCTTGGCCACTCTTTCGAGCTCCAGCTCCACGCCCAGATCGCCTCGGGCCGCCATCAGGGCCTGCGACTCGGCGATGATGCCGTCGATGTTGGTGAGGGCCTTGAACAGACCACACAATCAGGCCAGCATGATGCTGCACAAAAGCAATCAAAACATCGAAGATGACGCGGAAGCCTGAGGCTTCTCGATCTTCGGGCAGATCTTGGGTCGCTTCTCCTCGGGAGAAGTCGGTGTGAGCAGTTGAGTATGAAGATGTCTGTGCCAAATGTGCCAGCCTGCGAGGGCTGGCCTACGAACTGAACGCTGCGCTGTGCGTGACACATTTACCTGAACATCAAATGCCTGGATCATCTTCGCCAGCATGTCGTCGGTACAGGATGCAGGGCGCAAGCTTGCCACGGTCTTGGTTCTACTTCGGCTGTCATCCAGCTCGCGTGGCTTGCTCGCTTCGTCCACAACCTGGTCGAATCGCTGCACTCGCGGCGCAGCTCACCATGAAGCATGTTCACAGACGGAATACAATGCCCGAGGGCCAAAGCCCTTGACGTGGCCTGGGCCAAGGAAACACCACATACGTAGCTCACTTTAGCGACAACGAGTGCATGCTATACCGCATGCTCACCAGTACTGGCATCTCTGGCACCGACAAGCACTACACCACCCAAAGCTCAAAGTCGACAACACTCAGGGTGCAAGTCCCGTAAAATGCCAAGATGCATCTGCTTTGCGAGCAGTGCTGGCCTCGGCGCGGGTGGGCACTGGATTCCTGATCATGCTATGCTCGCCACGACCTGCGTGGCGTTGGTCATCGTTACAGGAACCGGTAAAGGAACCCTTAAAGGAATCCTTAGCAGAAACGCCAAAAATCCTATGATGTTTTGAAAGGTAGAGTAAGGAACCCAACATAAATTGTTTTTAGTAATTATTTGTGTTTCTACATTATACGGGAGGCCTTAATGATTAAGATCGGTTTCGCTTGTTTTCAAACCATAGTTGTAGGAAGGAACTCTACAAAATAGATATGGTTAATTTGTCCAATCTTTTGTATTATCGTGGACGATCCACGAAGGGGCACTGTTTATGTCCCTATATTAAAAGGGTCTAGCAAGACCATTAGAAGAGTTTCATAGAGTTTCGAAATAGTAAACAAACAGGCTTCCGTACATAGTTTATCATCGGGTCCTGATGCATCACTGCTTGACATCTGAATGTCCTGATATGTCCTGTCTTCTTCCGTTCGCAGCCGGGTATGTGTCCTCAAGCCGTCTCTTACTGCTGATGCTGATACTCATGATACAAATGCACATGCTAGGACTGATAGTAATCTTCATATTATTCACACAAGCACAAGCACTCATAAGAAATATCAATACAAATGCAACCATGCGTACTAGCATCAGTCTAGTATCAGTACGAAGCCCGGAGATAGCACCAAAGCTAATACAGACACGTGGAATGCCGTGGCGGCAAGCATCCCCTCTCCCCTTCTCTCCCTTCCTCTTCGCCCCTCTTCCCCTCTCAGGCAACGGCCCTCGATCGGCCTTTGACTTTCACGTGTTTTGGCATACTGCGAGCCTTTTACGGCGACGAGCGTGCGTGGTTTCATAGCCCAATCACCCTTTCAATAGCCCAACCCCATGGCACAGCGGGTAGCCGAACATGTCAAGTAGATGGCCCAAAAACCCCAAACCCCATGGCACACGAGGCTCACAACATGCGACATTCACCAAGAAAGCAAGGGCCATATGTGCTCTCCCGTTTTACCGTCTGAAATCGTCGAACACTTGGCTGTGAAACAGAATTCAGCAGTAGTGGAGATGCCAAATCTCCGTCTGCAAATGCCTGTTGGCATGCATTGAGAAAGCTTTTAGTTGCTGCTCTGCTTCCGCATAGCTTCGTCGCGGATCGCCATCAACTCGCCACAGGATCTTCAGATCAGAAATCAGTGTCTCCTGGTCTTGGTCCTGCTCCACATTTTGGAGGGCTCTGACCAGCAAGGACACCCACTTCTGACGTTGAGGTTTCGTCAGTGCACGCAGAATGCTAGTAAGATGCGTTGCACACTGCATTGCCTGCTCCAGGGCCTCTTTGCTGATTTCAACGGACTCTGGCAGCAGGTCTTCCATCCGGTCAAGCATGGCTTCGGCAATCAATTGCTGCACAAAAGGCAGGCCGCCACACGCATAGTTCTCAACAAGATGGTGCGCAGCAAGTCTCACGGATACATCCACGTCACAGCAGTGCACCAAGAGAGATCGAAGGTTCTCGGTGACGATGTCGTTTACATCACTTTCTGGAAAATGGGTTTTGTCCGCGCACGCCAGCCTCATACACCACCAGCGGCCTGGGAAGAAAAAATGATTCAGTGCTTTTGACTTGCTTTTCATGCAACAGCTTGTCAAAGGCCAAGAGACACTCGAAGAGCTTGTTTTGTCGGCAATCCTTTGCCATTTGGACTTCGGAGGTGACCGGGTCTGTTGTAGCGAAGTCAAACTGCACCGAAAAATCGATGATTGACTGGGACCTGCGTGCTGTAACTCATGTGCACGACATCTTGTGCGTCGCACACCGAAGGCGGACAACACCGTGCCTGTCCAACCTGCCCATTTCAGAGAGGTGATGTATCAAGACCTCAGGTTGCGCAATAACGCACTTCATAATCGAACAACGGATTACACTGCTTACACAAACTCCTGGACACAAGCAGAACACAAAGCTCCCAGCCTTGGGTTGAACGGTCTGACAGCAAGTCACTCGCCACTCCATAATATCATCAACCTTCGGGCAGGTGCAGATGCTCCCATCGGATGCTAGCCCAGTGTCGCGAGACCTACATGTTACCTCCTTGACACCACTTTAGTTGGAGACGAGCCACGGAGAGATGCTGTAACAGAACAGGCCTCGACACTTGCTCATGTGCCGGACGGTGGCACTGGCCATCGCTTCAAACACCAAAGCAGTTGCACCCGCTTCGGGCTGGTTGGCGGCTAAGTCGCAAAGCTTCGAAGGACGGATGGAACGGATCGATGGCTGCCTCGCGCAAGACTCTACAACGGCGAGAGAACAGGCATGAGTCTCACCAACGTGCAACGAGTGGAGGCTGAGCCTTCGCCGTCTCAGCGACGGAATCCAGCTTGTGTGCACCAGTGGAACCCATGGTGGCTCCGTTCTCTCGTTGCTTTTCAAGCCTTTCCGGACCGAAGACATGCGGCTGCCAAAGTTGCAAAAGTCTTGGGGTGTAGGATGTTGACTAGCCGGAGGAGTGCTGCTGCTGCTGGCCGCTGCTGGGGTTTTGTTAATCCGATTCTGTTATTGATACGCAGCGCTTTCGCCGAAAGGAACCGAAAGGCCATGAAAGCAGAGATGCATGAGGAGGTCGGAATGGGTGAATTCCCCAGCACCATCTTCGGCCGAGGTCTCCGGCAACGAATCCTCGACCATAGTGCTGTTGCTTCGATGTGTCTGCAGGATCAGTCCACAGCACGTGTGCCGAACTGACCGTAGCATCGTGACGACAGGCAGGGCAGTCCTCGCTGTATGTTCGGCAAGCTGCCTCCAACGTCACGTGCTCCTGCGAGCTCCGCAGATGTCTTGGCCGCAGCTCTCAGCCAAAGCCAGCAAAGGTCACAACCTGTCCTCGCCATCTGTCTGGCAAGCCCTGTTGCAGGCTTCCTGGGAGGCAACCAACCAGCACAGATGCCCGAAGTTTGCAAGCAAGCCAGGCTCCTCCAATCCCTTTGTCAAAGCAGCCTCAGAGCAGCGATTCGCTCGAAGTTGAACACGTCGTGCCAAGTGATCAGCATCGCGGGCCTGCTTGGCCACGTGGAGTTGCAGCTGCTGCTCCGCGCTCGCCGCGCGGCTTTCCAGAGTCGCCGTGGTCTCTCGCAGGCCTGCCATGTCCACGGCATCCAAGCTGATTACCGACACGCCCGTGGCAGAGAGCTTTTGCAAGTTCCGTCTGGGCACGGATCTCGCTGGCTGCCAGCAGCTTGCGAAGTTCCTCACGCTCGCCCATCAGCTGCGTCTCGCGCAGTCTCGCCGCCTCAGCGAATGCTTCTTCATGCTTCACCATGCGACCGGAACACCACTAGACATGGCCCGAAGTCTGCCTCAACATGGCCAACAAAACATCGCACGAGGCTGTTGAGGATGCATTGCTGCAAGTCAGGTGGCAGCGGCCGCCTGATTCTTTGCGTCCAGGAGGCGAGCGTAGGCTGCCTCACAGGTAGGCAGCAAGCGCACCCGCAAGCACGTCCGAAAGTCGAAACAGGAAGCCCGCTGTCCTTGTAGAACTTGAGGTTGGCTTTCTGGTCGTTCCGGGCTTTCTCATTCCTGGTCATCTTAAAGTTATGCGAGTGGGGTAGAGCTGCACAGGCTTCTGCTTCCAAGGAACTCCATCTGCAGCCTCAAGATTTGATGCCTCCGGAGTTCGAGCTCCCTATCTGCTGCGTGCAGCCTGGGTGGGGAGCGGCGGAGCCCAGGCAAGATAGACAGACTGTGACTGTGCTTGCTGTCATATTCTGTGGTACCCATCACTCAGCGCAGTCAAGGCACTCTGCCGACCAGTCCTATTGCTACAACACAGCAGACCGGGCAGATAAAGCATGCCAGAGCAACACAAGTCCTTCACAGAGGCTGTACTGCCATAGGAGCTTGGTGATGAATCTGAGGACCATGGCATGTCCTGCAGGGGCGCGAAGCATTACTGCTCACATCGCAAGGAGTCGAACATGCGGTCCTCCCCACAGGTTGTGCCGCCGAGTGAGCTCGGCGAACCATCCTGGCACATGGGTTCTCTTTTCAAGGCTGCTCAACGTTCATGTAGGATCCCTGCAATACTTTTTAGCCCTGGCGAAAACCCTAACCTTCGGTTCTCACATCAATCACTATCGCAGAATTATACTTTTCACTGATCGCGACCTGTGGAAACGGCGGGATTTACCAAAACGCGCACAGGTTTTACTGACGCGCACATCGCTAGCCGGAATTCGCCCCAAACTTTCAAGCCGAGATCGCAGCTATCGCGGACAAGTGCCTGCAGAATATTGGTGCGCACTGACGCGCGCACCAGTTTTTGAAACATGCACCATCGATATATGAGAATTCTCTAATGCAACTCCTGCATAGGGGTTTACGCCGCCGCTCTCCAGGCCCCTCAGAAAGGGATAGGGCAACCCCAATCATGTTATTCATTATCACAGCAAACACAATGCTCCTGGGATCATGCAGGCTGTCTCGGATGACGTTTTCACCGGGTCTGTCATTTTGCCCCGCTCGACATTCCATGATTACACATCAGTATATAGCTCCGATGTATCGGCCTCGCCGGGCCCTCCTGGTCTATGCAGCATGGCTCGGCTGCACGAGCACATCTCGCAATGCCGTGTGCCTGCCGTCTAAACTCGACTACTGCCAGCTACTGCTGTTGAAAGAAGCGCTGCTGACTAAGCAACCTTCATCTGGAAAAGCTGCAAATGCGATCGTTCAGAAGATGCGCTAGGCTGAGCCAGATGCAGTTGCAAAGCTGTCAATGGACCAGTCGATGCTTTGACTGCGACCTTCAGACCCTTGTGGCGACTGCAGCCGCTCCAAGCGTCGATCCACGTCCAGGGCATGCTGAAAGCTATTTCCAAGTCTTGCGATCTCGTTTGGAAAGCTGAAGAAAACATTCACCGATCTGCTGGCCAGCCAGATTGAGGACCTGACGGAGAAACTGCAGAGATTGCTTCCAAGGCTTGCAGGGCTCTGAGCTCACAACGGGGATTCGCTTCTGCGTTGGCACGGCGCGCCGAACCGTGAGCCGGGCCTCAGCCCCGACGAATTTGGCTCGTCCGTCTCTCAAGTCACTGCGTGCAAGAGCAAGGTCGGTGAATCTGTTTCTGACTGTGACACTGCCAGCTCTCGGGTTGCCGACACGCATAGAGTAGCCGCACACGGAACGAAGCCGTCGAACGTCCAAAACCGGCAACGTGCAGAGAACTTCGCTGTGCTTCCCATCATGGGCAGCTGCACTTGGTGCATTGTGCCTGGGGCCGCCAGGAAGTCCCTCGCCGAACTGCACCTGAAGCTGGCAGTTAGGGGCCAGTTGCAGAAACTATTGCACAGACCACCTGGTGCGGAAGCAGCTCGCAGGTATGTCCACCATGTCTCCATCCTCTCAAAATGGCACACCGACACGGTCTCCATACGGATGCATAGACAGGAGGCTCGGTAAGGCGGACAGCGAATCTCAAAACATGTCTAATTAGGATGGACAGCTTGAGGGGGTGGCGTGGTGGATGCCACGCTGTGGTCGTTCTCGAAACCTGTGGGCTGGCTCTGTTCCCATGCCGCATGGCAAACAACATGAAATCCGAACCTGCTTTTGCCGCAACCACCATTTGTGACAAGCGGAGAAACTGCAGAGATTGCTTCCAAGGCTTGCAGGGCTCTGAGCTCACAACGGGGATTCGCTTCTGCGTTGGCACGGCGCGCCGAACGGTGAGCCGGGCCTCAGCCCCGACGAATTTGGGTCGTCCGTCTCTCAAGTCACATTGCATAGCAAGGTCGGTGAATCTGCTTCTGGCTGTGACAATGCCAGCTCTCGGTTGCCAACTCGAGAGGTGACAGCTATTGCCGACACGCATAGTGCCGCCACACACGGAACGAAGCCGTCACGGCGGGGCCTGGAGCTGCTTCAGCAGCGCAGCCGTCGCAGAATTTCGAAAACCGGACCCTCAACGACCGGTCATCCGACTCCCGGCAACCCGCAGAGACCTTCGCTATGCTTCCCGTCAAGAGCAACTACACCGGGCACATTGTGCCTGGGGCCGCTCTGCGAAGGTCGGGCGGAGCTCAATCGATCAAGGGAAGGCGACAAGCCTGGCACAGAAGACCGACACCAGTTGGCTCAACATCGGGACACTTCTTTGCGTGGCGGCTCTCGGATCGCTTCTTCTCGTGCATCGGGTCTTCATAACCAACCCGGCTCCACAAAAAAAAGCCTCTTGACATGTCACTGTTGCTCTGCTGATCCCCTCTCACTCCGTCTCCGACCCTGTTGCTGCCTGTCCGGCTGCCTGTCTCTCGCGAGTGTGCAAGCAAAATAACCTCTCTCTCTCTATACCCTTCTCTCCCATTGAAGCAGAGCCATGTTCCCAGGCTAACAACATAGCTGCAGTACTGATAACTGATACCCTCCTCACGGAGTCATGGAGTTTACAGCACTGGCCGAAGGCTGCACCTCCTATCGGCTGAACGAAGCCAAGGACACCACAGGCCTTGCAGAAAACTCACTGTAGCCAACTTACACTACCATTGCATGGCTGGCATGTGCTCACAATCACGTCAGGGTACTACCGGTTTGCACGCAGCTGCTGCCTTGTTTGCTGGGGTCCACACACCAACTATCGCTGCCAAGGAAGCGGCGAATAGGAGGCGCCGCGCCTGCACCCCAGCTGCAAACAATGCAAAAGACGTAAACATGTCTGAAACAAAAAGCCGTTGCTGGTCATGGGCATCTACGTTTTACGCTCTACAACCTGACTCCAAATCTGCCTCCGAGAGGGACAACAGAACAACAAGAGGGCAAACAAGAGCTTGCTGCGGCCTCGAACTTCCGTGATAGCATGGTCCCTGTCTAAGAAAAACCGGCTTGAGCCAGATTTCCTGCAGTGACGTACATCGACTGATTGACTGTTTGATTCATTGATTCACTGATTGATGGATTGAGCGGCATGTGCATGCACGGAGATCTCTCTTTCCACACTCGCAGTCCCGCCGTAGTGGCATCAGGACAGCATGCACATCAAGTGCATTCAGTTCAGGTAAATCAAGGCATATTGGTAATTATGGCACGTGAAGTGTCAAGCCTCAACAGGTCCTCTAGGAGATCTATCTTCATTCGATCCTGGCACTGAGGCTTAAGTTAAGGCCCGTGCTCCCTGTCCCGCTCCACCCTTCACGGCCCATTGCATCCCTCCGGCTCGCAGCCTCTCCAAAGTCTGCGGAAAGCCGTGAGGCCTCTAGCTCCACTGCCACGACACTTCTACGGTGTCATCTTGCAAGTCTGCCCAGCTTACCCGGGCTTGGGCGGATGCAGCCTGCAGACTCTCCTCCTCCTCTTCCTCCTCCTGTCAAGCGCGTGCCGGAGAAGCCATCGAGCACTTGCCGGGTTTCCCTCCCTCTGCCCTTGAGCCTCCTCCGCCAGATCGGCCCAAGAAATGCGCTGAGCAGAGCGAGCCGCCGGCGCCGCCGGAGCCTTGGCCTTGGGCGGCGGCGACCTCGGCCTCGCCGAACGCAACGAAGGCGAAGGCACCGGCGTGTGGAAGCAGCTAAGTGCCGGTGAAGACGGCCCGCTTGACACGGGCGAGCCGCCTGACCCAGGACCGTCAAACCCTTCAGCACAAGGCGAAGAACAGCGTCTGCTTGGGCACTTGCAGTCACTTGCAGATTTGCACAGCCAAGGGACAACTGGACCTTGGAGATGGACTAAAGTCGTCCCTTCGCTGACGGCAGCTGTCAAAGCACCAATCGGGAAGGCGAAGGCTACTGAAGGCCCTCGAGTCAATACCTGAGTCGATGGCTTAGTCATGGCAGGTACTTAGTACTGACCAAAAGCGTTTGAGCAACCATGCCACGCCCAGGACACAACAACGTTCTTGCTTGCTCAAGAGCATGACCGAGCCCGCCCATGCCTCCCTGCCAATGGCGCATCAAAAGGAGGGACACCTTCATCGCCCTCTGCCATTTCCATCCAGAATGGCCGCGCATCCTCAGAAGTCAAACTTGACGCTGGGATGTCCGCGGCCGAGGCTGGCAATGTCAAAAGCGGTGGGGATGCCGTCCATACTGGCCACCATTCTGGAGTGGCCTGAGGCGATCTTGAAGCCACCCTCCCAAGCAGGCCTCAACCCACCTCAGCCTCAAACCCGTGGGCAACATGGATGCTCCGTCCCACGGTGTCATGTGCCACAGTACACACAGAGAGCACGGGCGTTATCATCTTGCGGGCATGAATGTCACAACTGTCTGAGGGAACTCGGACAGTAGCGCGAACCACAGTATAAGAACCCCCAAAGCTAGCAGCATAAACGATGATTTCCCAGAACAAAACCTGCCAGTATGAGGCAAAAACTGCAGTTCCAGATGCACCTGGAACTGCAAAAAAAACACCCTACCCAGATAAGAAGCACCGAAGTAAAACTCAAAATACGCACTCACCGGAACCGCATACACTTCCATCAGATCCCAATAATAAAGAGCTTTCACGTCGATCTCAAGCTCGCATGCGAAACCTATGCTGCAAGATTGCAAGAAGTGGCGAAAGCACGAGAGAAACTGGGGCTGCTGGCCGGCCAGAACTTGGTAATCATCTCCTGAGTGACGTGCTACATTCCCAGAGAGCCTGGGACAGAGCCTCCTGCATCGTTGAACAGGTGGAGTTCTCCAGACCCCTCTGCCACCGGGACGTAGCGTTTTAAAGGTCGGGGTCTTCACGAACTAGCATGATTTGCGCTTCTCGGACGGCTTCATTCCCAGTCGGAAGGCAGCTGCAAGCAGCTCTCACAACCCTGTCCACAACACTCAGCTGTCTGATATTGGTGCAGGCCCGGGCACACTCTCAGCTTCGGTGCCGTCCCATATGGCGTTCTGCAGATCGCTAACTTCCGCCCGGGTCGGGACCGGGCTCTCGATCCTCGGAAACTGCAAAGTTCCGACAGTGCAATGTGACTCGTGTGACATGTGGCTTCTTACGAAACAACACCAGGCTACCTCCGATACTTGCCAAGCTTGGCAAACCGGTGACGGGTTCCTCCTATTCCCTCTATTGTTGCTCGATGGATCTGGTCGCCCTGCACTTGCACCGTAAGGCCCCAGTGGAGGCCGCTACACCGCTACACTATTGCGCTCCGCCAAGCCACATGCTCTCGACCGTCTCGACCATCTGCGTGGCGTTGATGACGAAAAGTCCGGCATCCTCGCAGCAGTCGGCACAGAGTGCAAACTGCGAACTCTTGCATAGCTCTATGTGTCTATGTACATAAGAACTGACATAAGAACTGGAACTTGCGAAGCCTTGGCCACTCTTTCGAGCTCCAGCTCCACGCCCAGATCGCCTCGGGCCGCCATCAGGGCCTGCGACTCGGCGATGATGCCGTCGATGTTGGTGAGGGCCTTGAACAGACCACACAATCAGGCCAGCATGATGCTGCACAAAAGCAATCAAAACATCGAAGATGACGCGGAAGCCTGAGGCTTCTCGATCTTCGGGCAGATCTTGGGTCGCTTCTCCTCGGGAGAAGTCGGTGTGAGCAGTTGAGTATGAAGATGTCTGTGCCAAATGTGCCAGCCTGCGAGGGCTGGCCTACGAACTGAACGCTGCGCTGTGCGTGACACATTTACCTGAACATCAAATGCCTGGATCATCTTCGCCAGCATGTCGTCGGTGCAGGATGCAGGGCGCAAGCTTGCCACGGTCTTGGTTCTACTTCGGCTGTCATCCAGCTCGCGTGGCTTGCTCGCTTCGTCCACAACCTGGTCGAATCGCTGCACTCGCGGCGCAGCTCACCATGAAGCATGTTCACGGACGGAATACAATGCCCGAGGGCCAAAGCCCTTGACGTGGCCTGGGCCAAGGAAACACCACATACGTAGCTCACTTTAGCGACAACGAGTGCATGCTATACCGCATGCTCACCAGTACTGGCATCTCTGGCACCGACAAGCACTACACCACCCAAAGCTCAAAGTCGACAACACTCAGGGTGCAAGTCCCGTAAAATGCCAAGATGCATCTGCTTTGCGAGCAGTGCTGGCCTCGGCGCGGTGGGCACTGGATTCCTGATCATGCTATGCTCGCCACGACCTGCGTGGCGTTGGTCATCGTTACAGGAACCGGTAAAGGAACCCTTAAAGGAATCCTTAGCAGAAACGCCAAAAATCCTATGATGTTTTGAAAGGTAGAGTAAGGAACCCAACATAAATTGTTTTTAGTAATTATTTGTGTTTCTACCTTATACGGGAGGCCTTAATGATTAAGATCGGTTTCGCTTGTTTTCAAACCATAGTTGTGGGAAGGAACTCTACAAAATAGATATGGTTAATTTGTCCAATCTTTTGTATTATCGTGGACGATCCACGAAGGGGCACTGTTTATGTCCCTATATTAAAAGGGTCTAGCAAGACCATTAGAAGAGTTTCATAGGGTTTCGAAATAGTAAACAAACAGGCTTCCGTACATAGTTTATCATCGGGTCCTGATGCATCACTGCTTGACATCTGAATGTCCTGATATGTCCTGTCTTCTTCCGTTCGCAACCGGGTATGTGTCCTCAAGCGGTCTCTTACTGCTGATGCTGATACTCATGATACAAATGCACATGCTAGGACTGATAGTAATCTTCATATTATTCACACAAGCACTCATAAGAAATATCAATACAAATGCAACCATGCGTACTAGCATCAGTCTAGTATCAGTACGAAGCCCGGAGATAGCACCAAAGCTAATACAGACACGTGGAATGCCGTGGCGGCAAGCATCCCCTCTCCCCTTCTCTCCCTTCCTCTTCGCCCCTCTTCCCCTCTCAGGCAACGGCCCTCGATGGGCCTTTGGCTTTCACGTGTTTTGGCATACTGCGAGCCTTTTACGGCGACGAGCGTGCGTGGTTTCATAGCCCAATCACCCTTTCAATAGCCCAACCCCATGGCACAGCGGGTAGCCGAACATGTCAAGTAGATGGCCCAAAAACTCCAAACCCCATGGCACACGAGGCTCACAACATGCGACATTCACCAAGAAAGCAAGGGCCATATGTGCTCTCCCGTTTTACCGTCTGAAATCGTCGAACACTTGGCTGTGAAACAGAATTCAGCAGTAGTGGAGATGCCAAATCTCCGTCTGCAAATGCCTGTTGGCATGCATTGAGAAAGCTTTTAGTTGCTGCTCTGCTTCCGCATAGCTTCGTCGCGGATCGCCATCAACTCGCCACAGGATCTTCAGATCAGAAATCAGTGTCTCCTGGTCTTGGTCCTGCTCCACATTTTGGAGGGCTCTGACCAGCAAGGACACCCACTTCTGACGTTGAGGTTTCGTCAGTGCACGCAGAATGCTAGTAAGATGCGTTGCACACTGCATTGCCTGCTCCAGGGCCTCTTTGCTGATTTCAACGGACTCTGGCAGCAGGTCTTCCATCCGGTCAAGCATGGCTTCGGCAATCAATTGCTGCACAAAAGGCAGGCCGCCACACGCATAGTTCTCAACAAGATGGTGCGCAGCAAGTCTCACGGATACATCCACGTCACAGCAGTGCACCAAGAGAGATCGAAGGTTCTCGGTGACGATGTCGTTTACATCACTTTCTGGAAAATGGGTTTTGTCCGCGCACGCCAGCCTCATACACCACCAGCGGCCTGGGAAGAAAAAATGATTCAGTGCTTTTGACTTGCTTTTCATGCAACAGCTTGTCAAAGGCCAAGAGACACTCGAAGAGCTTGTTTTGTCGGCAATCCTTTGCCATTTGGACTTCGGAGGTGACCGGGTCTGTTGTAGCGAAGTCAAACTGCACCGAAAAATCGATGATTGACTGGGACCTGCGTGCTGTAACTCATGTGCACGACATCTTGTGCGTCGCACACCGAAGGCGGACAACACCGTGCCTGTCCAACCTGCCCATTTCAGAGAGGTGATGTATCAAGACCTCAGGTTGCGCAATAACGCACTTCATAATCGAACAACGGATTACACTGCTTACACAAACTCCTGGACACAAGCAGAACACAAAGCTCCCAGCCTTGGGTTGAACGGTCTGACAGCAAGTCACTCGCCACTCCATAATATCATCAACCTTCGGGCAGGTGCAGATGCTCCCATCGGATGCTAGCCCAGTGTCGCGAGACCTACATGTTACCTCCTTGACACCACTTTAGTTGGAGACGAGCCACGGAGAGATGCTGTAACAGAACAGGCCTCGACACTTGCTCATGTGCCGGACGGTGGCACTGGCCATCGCTTCAAACACCAAAGCAGTTGCACCCGCTTCGGGCTGGTTGGCGGCTAAGTCGCAAAGCTTCGAAGGACGGATGGAACGGATCGATGGCTGCCTCGCGCAAGACTCTACAACGGCGAGAGAACAGGCATGAGTCTCACCAACGTGCAACGAGTGGAGGCTGAGCCTTCGCCGTCTCAGCGACGGAATCCAGCTTGTGTGCACCAGTGGAACCCATGGTGGCTCCGTTCTCTCGTTGCTTTTCAAGCCTTTCCGGACCGAAGACATGCGGCTGCCAAAGTTGCAAAAGTCTTGGGGTGTAGGATGTTGACTAGCCGGAGGAGTGCTGCTGCTGCTGGCCGCTGCTGGGGTTTTGTTAATCCGATTCTGTTATTGATACGCAGCGCTTTCGCCGAAAGGAACCGAAAGGCCATGAAAGCAGAGATGCATGAGGAGGACGGAATGGGTGAATTCCCCAGCACCATCTTCGGCCGAGGTCTCCGGCAACGAATCCTCGACCATAGTGCTGTTGCTTCGATGTGTCTGCAGGATCAGTCAGTCCACAGCACGTGTGCTGAACTGACCGTAGCATCGTGACGACAGGCAGGGCAGTCCTCGCTGTATGTTTGGCAAGCTGCCTCCAACGTCACGTGCTCCTGCGAGCTCCGCAGATGTCTTGGCCGCAGCTCTCAGCCAAAGCCAGCAAAGGTCACAACCTGTCCTCGCCATCTGTCTGGCAAGCCCTGTTGCAGGCTTCCTGGGAGGCAACCAACCAGCACACGCTCGAAGTTGAACACGTCGTGCCAAGTGATCAGCATCGCGGGCCTGCTTGGCCACGTGGAGTTGCAGCTGCTGCTCCGCGCTCGCCGCGCGGCTTTCCAGAGTCGCCGTGGTCTCTCGCAGGCCTGCCATGTCCACGGCATCCAAGCTGATTACCGACACGCCCGTGGCAGAGAGCTTTTGCAAGTTCCGTCTGGGCACGGATCTCGCTGGCTGCCAGCAGCTTGCGAAGTTCCTCACGCTCGCCCATCAGCTGCGTCTCGCGCAGTCTCGCCGCCTCAGCGAATGCTTCTTCATGCTTCACCATGCGACCGGAACACCACTAGACATGGCCCGAAGTCTGCCTCAACATGGCCAACAAAACATCGCACGAGGCTGTTGAGGATGCATTGCTGCAAGTCAGGTGGCAGCGGCCGCCTGATTCTTTGCGTCCAGGAGGCGAGCGTAGGCTGCCTCACAGGTAGGCAGCAAGCGCACCCGCAAGCACGTCCGAAAGTCGAAACAGGAAGCCCGCTGTCCTTGTAGAACTTGAGGTTGGCTTTCTGGTCGTTCCGGGCTTTCTCATTCCTGGTCATCTTAAAGTTATGCGAGTGGGGTAGAGCTGCACAGGCTTCTGCTTCCAAGGAACTCCATCTGCAGCCTCAAGATTTGATGCCTCCGGAGTTCGAGCTCCCTATCTGCTGCGTGCAGCCTGGGTGGGGAGCGGCGGAGCCCAGGCAAGATAGACAGACTGTGACTGTGCTTGCTGTCATATTCTGTGGTACCCATCACTCAGCGCAGTCAAGGCACTCTGCCGACCAGTCCTATTGCTACAACACAGCAGACCGGGCAGATAAAGCATGCCAGAGCAACACAAGTCCTTCACAGAGGCTGTACTGCCATAGGAGCTTGGTGATGAATCTGAGGACCATCGCATGTCCTGCAGGGGCGCGAAGCATTACTGCTCACATCGCAAGGAGTCGAACATGCGGTCCTCCCCACAGGTTGTGCCGCCGAGTGAGCTCGGCGAACCATCCTGGCACATGGGTTCTCTTTTCAAGGCTGCTCAACGTTCATGTAGGATCCCTGCAATACTTTTTAGCCCTGGCGAAAACCCTAACCTTCGGTTCTCACATCAATCACTATCGCAGAATTATACTTTTCACTGATCGCGACCTGTGGAAACGGCGGGATTTACCAAAACGCGCACAGGTTTTACTGACGCGCACATCGCTAGCCGGAATTCGCCCCAAACTTTCAAGCCGAGATCGCAGCTATCGCGGACAAGTGCCTGCAGAATATTGGTGCGCACTGACGCGCGCACCAGTTTTTGAAACATGCACCATCGATATATGAGAATTCTCTAATGCAACTCCTGCATAGGGGTTTACGCCGCCGCTCTCCAGGCCCCTCAGAAAGGGATAGGGCAACCCCAATCATGTTATTCATTATCACAGCAAACACAATGCTCCTGGGATCATGCAGGCTGTCTCGGATGAAGTTTTCACCGGGTCTGTCATTTTGCCCCGCTCGACATTCCATGATTACACATCAGTATATAGCTCCGATGTATCGGCCTCGCCGGGCCCTCCTGGTCTATGCAGCATGGCTCGGCTGCACGAGCACATCTCGCAATGCCGTGTGCCTGCCGTCTAAACTCGACTACTGCCAGCTACTGCTGTTGAAAGAAGCGCTGCTGACTAAGCAACCTTCATCTGGAAAAGCTGCAAATGCGATCGTTCAGAAGATGCGCTAGGCTGAGCCAGATGCAGTTGCAAAGCTGTCAATGGACCAGTCGATGCTTTGACTGCGACCTTCAGACCCTTGTGGCGACTGCAGCCGCTCCAAGCGTCGATCCACGTCCAGGGCATGCTGAAAGCTATTTCCAAGTCTTGCGATCTCGTTTGGAAAGCTGAAGAAAACATTCACCGATCTGCTGGCCAGCCAGATTGAGGACCTGACGGAGAAACTGCAGAGATTGCTTCCAAGGCTTGCAGGGCTCTGAGCTCACAACGGGGATTCGCTTCTGCGTTGGCACGGCGCGCCGAACCGTGAGCCGGGCCTCAGCCCCGACGAATTTGGCTCGTCCGTCTCTCAAGTCACTGCGTGCAAGAGCAAGGTCGGTGAATCTGTTTCTGACTGTGACACTGCCAGCTCTCGGGTTGCCGACACGCATAGAGTAGCCGCACACGGAACGAAGCCGTCACGGCGCAGCCTGTAGCTGCTTAGACAGAGCAACCGTCGCAGAACGTCCAAAACCGGCAACGTGCAGAGAACTTCGCTGTGCTTCCCATCATGGGCAGCTGCACTTGGTGCATTGTGCCTGGGGCCGCCAGGAAGTCCCTCGCCGAACTGCACCTGAAGCTGGCAGTTAGGGGCCAGTTGCAGAAACTATTGCACAGACCACCTGGTGCGGAAGCAGCTCGCAGGTATGTCCACCATGTCTCCATCCTCTCAAAATGGCACACCGACACGGTCTCCATACGGATGCATAGACAGGAGGCTCGGTAAGGCGGACAGCGAATCTCAAAACATGTCTAATTAGGATGGACAGCTTGAGGGGGTGGCGTGGTGGATGCCACGCTGTGGTCGTTCTCGAAACCTGTGGGCTGGCTCTGTTCCCATGCCGCATGGCAAACAACATGAAATCCGAACCTGCTTTTGCCGCAACCACCATTTGTGACAAGCGGAGAAACTGCAGAGATTGCTTCCAAGGCTTGCAGGGCTCTGAGCTCACAACGGGGATTCGCTTCTGCGTTGGCACGGCGCGCCGAACGGTGAGCCGGGCCTCAGCCCCGACGAATTTGGGTCGTCCGTCTCTCAAGTCACATTGCATAGCAAGGTCGGTGAATCTGCTTCTGGCTGTGACAATGCCAGCTCTCGGTTGCCAACTCGAGAGGTGACAGCTATTGCCGACACGCATAGTGCCGCCACACACGGAACGAAGCCGTCACGGCGGGGCCTGGAGCTGCTTCAGCAGCGCAGCCGTCGCAGAATTTCGAAAACCGGACCCTCAACGACCGGTCATCCGACTCCCGGCAACCCGCAGAGACCTTCGCTATGCTTCCCGTCAAGAGCAACTACACCGGGCACATTGTGCCTGGGGCCGCTCTGCGAAGGTCGGGCGGAGCTCAATCGATCAAGGGAAGGCGACAAGCCTGGCACAGAAGACCGACACCAGTTGGCTCAACATCGGGACACTTCTTTGCGTGGCGGCTCTCGGATCGCTTCTTCTCGTGCATCGGGTCTTCATAACCAACCCGGCTCCACAAAAAAAAGCCTCTTGACATGTCACTGTTGCTCTGCTGATCCCCTCTCACTCCGTCTCCGACCCTGTTGCTGCCTGTCCGGCTGCCTGTCTCTCGCGAGTGTGCAAGCAAAATAACCTCTCTCTCTCTATACCCTTCTCTCCCATTGAAGCAGAGCCATGTTCCCAGGCTAACAACATAGCTGCAGTACTGATAACTGATACCCTCCTCACGGAGTCATGGAGTTTACAGCACTGGCCGAAGGCTGCACCTCCTATCGGCTGAACGAAGCCAAGGACACCACAGGCCTTGCAGAAAACTCACTGTAGCCAACTTACACTACCATTGCATGGCTGGCATGTGCTCACAATCACGTCAGGGTACTACCGGTTTGCACGCAGCTGCTGCCTTGTTTGCTGGGGTCCACACACCAACTATCGCTGCCAAGGAAGCGGCGAATAGGAGGCGCCGCGCCTGCACCCCAGCTGCAAACAATGCAAAAGACGTAAACATGTCTGAAACAAAAAGCCGTTGCTGGTCATGGGCATCTACGTTTTACGCTCTACAACCTGACTCCAAATCTGCCTCCGAGAGGGACAACAGAACAACAAGAGGGCAAACAAGAGCTTGCTGCGGCCTCGAACTTCCGTGATAGCATGGTCCCTGTCTAAGAAAAACCGGCTTGAGCCAGATTTCCTGCAGTGACGTACATCGACTGATTGACTGTTTGATTCATTGATTCACTGATTGATGGATTGAGCGGCATGTGCATGCACGGAGATCTCTCTTTCCACACTCGCAGTCCCGCCGTAGTGGCATCAGGACAGCATGCACATCAAGTGCATTCAGTTCAGGTAAATCAAGGCATATTGGTAATTATGGCACGTGAAGTGTCAAGCCTCAACAGGTCCTCTAGGAGATCTATCTTCATTCGATCCTGGCACTGAGGCTTAAGTTAAGGCCCGTGCTCCCTGTCCCGCTCCACCCTTCACGGCCCATTGCATCCCTCCGGCTCGCAGCCTCTCCAAAGTCTGCGGAAAGCCGTGAGGCCTCTAGCTCCACTGCCACGACACTTCTACGGTGTCATCTTGCAAGTCTGCCCAGCTTACCCGGGCTTGGGCGGATGCAGCCTGCAGACTCTCCTCCTCCTCTTCCTCCTCCTGTCAAGCGCGTGCCGGAGAAGCCATCGAGCACTTGCCGGGTTTCCCTCCCTCTGCCCTTGAGCCTCCTCCGCCAGATCGGCCCAAGAAATGCGCTGAGCAGAGCGAGCCGCCGGCGCCGCCGGAGCCTTGGCCTTGGGCGGCGGCGACCTCGGCCTCGCCGAACGCAACGAAGGCGAAGGCACCGGCGTGTGGAAGCAGCTAAGTGCCGGTGAAGACGGCCCGCTTGACACGGGCGAGCCGCCTGACCCAGGACCGTCAAACCCTTCAGCACAAGGCGAAGAACAGCGTCTGCTTGGGCACTTGCAGTCACTTGCAGATTTGCACAGCCAAGGGACAACTGGACCTTGGAGATGGACTAAAGTCGTCCCTTCGCTGACGGCAGCTGTCAAAGCACCAATCGGGAAGGCGAAGGCTACTGAAGGCCCTCGAGTCAATACCTGAGTCGATGGCTTGGTCATGGCAGGTACTTAGTACTGACCAAAAGCGTTTGAGCAACCATGCCACGCCCAGGACACAACAACGTTCTTGCTTGCTCAAGAGCATGACCGAGCCCGCCCATGCCTCCCTGCCAATGGCGCATCAAAAGGAGGGACACCTTCATCGCCCTCTGCCATTTCCATCCAGAATGGCCGCGCATCCTCAGAAGTCAAACTTGACGCTGGGATGTCCGCGGCCGAGGCTGGCAATGTCAAAAGCGGTGGGGATGCCGTCCATACTGGCCACCATTCTGGAGTGGCCTGAGGCGATCTTGAAGCCACCCTCCCAAGCAGGCCTCAACCCACCTCAGCCTCAAACCCGTGGGCAACATGGATGCTCCGTCCCACGGTGTCATGTGCCACAGTACACACAGAGAGCACGGGCGTTATCATCTTGCGGGCATGAATGTCACAACTGTCTGAGAGAACTCGGACAGTAGCGCGAACCACAGTATAAGAACCCCCAAAGCTAGCAGCATAAACGATGATTTCCCAGAACAAAACCTGCCAGTATGAGGCAAAAACTGCAGTTCCAGATGCACCTGGAACTGCAAAAAAAACACCCTACCCAGATAAGAAGCACCGAAGTAAAACTCAAAATACGCACTCACCGGAACCGCATACACTTCCATCAGATCCCAATAATAAAGAGCTTTCACGTCGATCTCAAGCTCGCATGCGAAACCTATGCTGCAAGATTGCAAGAAGTGGCGAAAGCACGAGAGAAACTGGGGCTGCTGGCCGGCCAGAACTTGGTAATCATCTCCTGAGTGACGTGCTACATTCCCAGAGAGCCTGGGACAGAGCCTCCTGCATCGTTGAACAGGTGGAGTTCTCCAGACCCCTCTGCCACCGGGACGTAGCGTTTTAAAGGTCGGGGTCTTCACGAACTAGCATGATTTGCGCTTCTCGGACGGCTTCATTCCCAGTCGGAAGGCAGCTGCAAGCAGCTCTCACAACCCTGTCCACAACACTCAGCTGTCTGATATTGGTGCAGGCCCGGGCACACTCTCAGCTTCGGTGCCGTCCCATATGGCGTTCTGCAGATCGCTAACTTCCGCCCGGGTCGGGACCGGGCTCTCGATCCTCGGAAACTGCAAAGTTCCGACAGTGCAATGTGACTCGTGTGACATGTGGCTTCTTACGAAACAACACCAGGCTACCTCCGATACTTGCCAAGCTTGGCAAACCGGTGACGGGTTCCTCCTATTCCCTCTATTGTTGCTCGATGGATCTGGTCGCCCTGCACTTGCACCGTAAGGCCCCAGTGGAGGCCGCTACACCGCTACACTATTGCGCTCCGCCAAGCCACATGCTCTCGACCGTCTCGACCATCTGCGTGGCGTTGATGACGAAAAGTCCGGCATCCTCGCAGCAGTCGGCACAGAGTGCAAACTGCGAACTCTTGCATAGCTCTATGTGTCTATGTACATAAGAACTGACATAAGAACTGGAACTTGCGAAGCCTTGGCCACTCTTTCGAGCTCCAGCTCCACGCCCAGATCGCCTCGGGCCGCCATCAGGGCCTGCGACTCGGCGATGATGCCGTCGATGTTGGTGAGGGCCTTGAACAGACCACACAATCAGGCCAGCATGATGCTGCACAAAAGCAATCAAAACATCGAAGATGACGCGGAAGCCTGAGGCTTCTCGATCTTCGGGCAGATCTTGGGTCGCTTCTCCTCGGGAGAAGTCGGTGTGAGCAGTTGAGTATGAAGATGTCTGTGCCAAATGTGCCAGCCTGCGAGGGCTGGCCTACGAACTGAACGCTGCGCTGTGCGTGACACATTTACCTGAACATCAAATGCCTGGATCATCTTCGCCAGCATGTCGTCGGTGCAGGATGCAGGGCGCAAGCTTGCCACGGTCTTGGTTCTACTTCGGCTGTCATCCAGCTCGCGTGGCTTGCTCGCTTCGTCCACAACCTGGTCGAATCGCTGCACTCGCGGCGCAGCTCACCATGAAGCATGTTCACGGACGGAATACAATGCCCGAGGGCCAAAGCCCTTGACGTGGCCTGGGCCAAGGAAACACCACATACGTAGCTCACTTTAGCGACAACGAGTGCATGCTATACCGCATGCTCACCAGTACTGGCATCTCTGGCACCGACAAGCACTACACCACCCAAAGCTCAAAGTCGACAACACTCAGGGTGCAAGTCCCGTAAAATGCCAAGATGCATCTGCTTTGCGAGCAGTGCTGGCCTCGGCGCGGTGGGCACTGGATTCCTGATCATGCTATGCTCGCCACGACCTGCGTGGCGTTGGTCATCGTTACAGGAACCGGTAAAGGAACCCTTAAAGGAATCCTTAGCAGAAACGCCAAAAATCCTATGATGTTTTGAAAGGTAGAGTAAGGAACCCAACATAAATTGTTTTTAGTAATTATTTGTGTTTCTACCTTATACGGGAGGCCTTAATGATTAAGATCGGTTTCGCTTGTTTTCAAACCATAGTTGTGGGAAGGAACTCTACAAAATAGATATGGTTAATTTGTCCAATCTTTTGTATTATCGCGGACGATCCACGAAGGGGCACTGTTTATGTCCCTATATTAAAAGGGTCTAGCAAGACCATTAGAAGAGTTCCATAGGGTTTCGAAATAGTAAACAAACAGGCTTCCGTACATAGTTTATCATCGGGTCCTGATGCATCACTGCTTGACATCTGAATGTCCTGATATGTCCTGTCTTCTTCCGTTCGCAACCGGGTATGTGTCCTCAAGCGGTCTCTTACTGCTGATGCTGATACTCATGATACAAATGCACATGCTAGGACTGATAGTAATCTTCATATTATTCACACAAGCACTCATAAGAAATATCAATACAAATGCAACCATGCGTACTAGCATCAGTCTAGTATCAGTACGAAGCCCGGAGATAGCACCAAAGCTAATACAGACACGTGGAATGCCGTGGCGGCAAGCATCCCCTCTCCCCTTCTCTCCCTTCCTCTTCGCCCCTCTTCCCCTCTCAGGCAACGGCCCTCGATGGGCCTTTGGCTTTCACGTGTTTTGGCATACTGCGAGCCTTTTACGGCGACGAGCGTGCGTGGTTTCATAGCCCAATCACCCTTTCAATAGCCCAACCCCATGGCACAGCGGGTAGCCGAACATGTCAAGTAGATGGCCCAAAAACTCCAAACCCCATGGCACACGAGGCTCACAACATGCGACATTCACCAAGAAAGCAAGGGCCATATGTGCTCTCCCGTTTTACCGTCTGAAATCGTCGAACACTTGGCTGTGAAACAGAATTCAGCAGTAGTGGAGATGCCAAATCTCCGTCTGCAAATGCCTGTTGGCATGCATTGAGAAAGCTTTTAGTTGCTGCTCTGCTTCCGCATAGCTTCGTCGCGGATCGCCATCAACTCGCCACAGGATCTTCAGATCAGAAATCAGTGTCTCCTGGTCTTGGTCCTGCTCCACATTTTGGAGGGCTCTGACCAGCAAGGACACCCACTTCTGACGTTGAGGTTTCGTCAGTGCACGCAGAATGCTAGTAAGATGCGTTGCACACTGCATTGCCTGCTCCAGGGCCTCTTTGCTGATTTCAACGGACTCTGGCAGCAGGTCTTCCATCCGGTCAAGCATGGCTTCGGCAATCAATTGCTGCACAAAAGGCAGGCCGCCACACGCATAGTTCTCAACAAGATGGTGCGCAGCAAGTCTCACGGATACATCCACGTCACAGCAGTGCACCAAGAGAGATCGAAGGTTCTCGGTGACGATGTCGTTTACATCACTTTCTGGAAAATGGGTTTTGTCCACGCACGCCAGCCTCATACACCACCAGCGGCCTGGGAAGAAAAATGATTCAGTGCTTTTGACTTGCTTTTCATGCAACAGCTTGTCAAAGGCCAAGAGACACTCGAAGAGCTTGTTTTGTCGGCAATCCTTTGCCATTTGGACTTCGGAGGTGACCGGGTCTGTTGTAGCGAAGTCAAACTGCACCGAAAAATCGATGATTGACTGGGACCTGCGTGCTGTAACTCATGTGCACGACATCTTGTGCGTCGCACACCGAAGGCGGACAACACCGTGCCTGTCCAACCTGCCCATTTCAGAGAGGTGATGTATCAAGACCTCAGGTTGCACAATAACGCACTTCATAATCGAACAACGGATTACACTGCTTACACAAACTCCTGGACACAAGCAGAACACAAAGCTCCCAGCCTTGGGTTGAACGGTCTGACAGCAAGTCACTCGCCACTCCATAATATCATCAACCTTCGGGCAGGTGCAGATGCTCCCATCGGATGCTAGCCCAGTGTCGCGAGACCTACATGTTACCTCCTTGACACCACTTTAGTTGGAGACGAGCCACGGAGAGATGCTGTAACAGAACAGGCCTCGACACTTGCTCATGTGCCGGACGGTGGCACTGGCCATCGCTTCAAACACCAAAGCAGTTGCACCCGCTTCGGGCTGGTTGGCGGCTAAGTCGCAAAGCTTCGAAGGACGGATGGAACGGATCGATGGCTGCCTCGCGCAAGACTCTACAACGGCGAGAGAACAGGCATGAGTCTCACCAACGTGCAACGAGTGGAGGCTGAGCCTTCGCCGTCTCAGCGACGGAATCCAGCTTGTGTGCACCAGTGGAACCCATGGTGGCTCCGTTCTCTCGTTGCTTTTCAAGCCTTTCCGGACCGAAGACATGCGGCTGCCAAAGTTGCAAAAGTCTTGGGGTGTAGGATGTTGACTAGCCGGAGGAGTGCTGCTGCTGCTGGCCGCTGCTGGGGTTTTGTTAATCCGATTCTGTTATTGATACGCAGCGCTTTCGCCGAAAGGAACCGAAAGGCCATGAAAGCAGAGATGCATGAGGAGGACGGAATGGGTGAATTCCCCAGCACCATCTTCGGCCGAGGTCTCCGGCAACGAATCCTCGACCATAGTGCTGTTGCTTCGATGTGTCTGCAGGATCAGTCAGTCCACAGCACGTGTGCTGAACTGACCGTAGCATCGTGACGACAGGCAGGGCAGTCCTCGCTGTATGTTTGGCAAGCTGCCTCCAACGTCACGTGCTCCTGCGAGCTCCACAGATGTCTTGGCCGCAGCTCTCAGCCAAAGCCAGCAAAGGTCACAACCTGTCCTCGCCATCTGTCTGGCAAGCCCTGTTGCAGGCTTCCTGGGAGGCAACCAACCAGCACAGATGCCCGAAGTTTGCAAGCAAGCCAGGCTCCTCCAATCCCTTTGTCAAAGCAGCCTCAGAGCAGCGATTCGCTCGAAGTTGAACACGTCGTGCCAAGTGATCAGCATCGCGGGCCTGCTTGGCCACGTGGAGTTGCAGCTGCTGCTCCGCGCTCGCCGCGCGGCTTTCCAGAGTCGCCGTGGTCTCTCGCAGGCCTGCCATGTCCACGGCATCCAAGCTGATTACCGACACGCCCGTGGCAGAGAGCTTTTGCAAGTTCCGTCTGGGCACGGATCTCGCTGGCTGCCAGCAGCTTGCGAAGTTCCTCACGCTCGCCCATCAGCTGCGTCTCGCGCAGTCTCGCCGCCTCAGCGAATGCTTCTTCATGCTTCACCATGCGACCGGAACACCACTAGACATGGCCCGAAGTCTGCCTCAACATGGCCAACAAAACATCGCACGAGGCTGTTGAGGATGCATTGCTGCAAGTCAGGTGGCAGCGGCCGCCTGATTCTTTGCGTCCAGGAGGCGAGCGTAGGCTGCCTCACAGGTAGGCAGCAAGCGCACCCGCAAGCACGTCCGAAAGTCGAAACAGGAAGCCCGCTGTCCTTGTAGAACTTGAGGTTGGCTTTCTGGTCGTTCCGGGCTTTCTCATTCCTGGTCATCTTAAAGTTATGCGAGTGGGGTAGAGCTGCACAGGCTTCTGCTTCCAAGGAACTCCATCTGCAGCCTCAAGATTTGATGCCTCCGGAGTTCGAGCTCCCTATCTGCTGCGTGCAGCCTGGGTGGGGAGCGGCGGAGCCCAGGCAAGATAGACAGACTGTGACTGTGCTTGCTGTCATATTCTGTGGTACCCATCACTCAGCGCAGTCAAGGCACTCTGCCGACCAGTCCTATTGCTACAACACAGCAGACCGGGCAGATAAAGCATGCCAGAGCAACACAAGTCCTTCACAGAGGCTGTACTGCCATAGGAGCTTGGTGATGAATCTGAGGACCATCGCATGTCCTGCAGGGGCGCGAAGCATTACTGCTCACATCGCAAGGAGTCGAACATGCGGTCCTCCCCACAGGTTGTGCCGCCGAGTGAGCTCGGCGAACCATCCTGGCACATGGGTTCTCTTTTCAAGGCTGCTCAACGTTCATGTAGGATCCCTGCAATACTTTTTAGCCCTGGCGAAAACCCTAACCTTCGGTTCTCACATCAATCACTATCGCAGAATTATACTTTTCACTGATCGCGACCTGTGGAAACGGCGGGATTTACCAAAACGCGCACAGGTTTTACTGACGCGCACATCGCTAGCCGGAATTCGCCCCAAACTTTCAAGCCGAGATCGCAGCTATCGCGGACAAGTGCCTGCAGAATATTGGTGCGCACTGACGCGCGCACCAGTTTTTGAAACATGCACCATCGATATATGAGAATTCTCTAATGCAACTCCTGCATAGGGGTTTACGCCGCCGCTCTCCAGGCCCCTCAGAAAGGGATAGGGCAACCCCAATCATGTTATTCATTATCACAGCAAACACAATGCTCCTGGGATCATGCAGGCTGTCTCGGATGAAGTTTTCACCGGGTCTGTCATTTTGCCCCGCTCGACATTCCATGATTACACATCAGTATATAGCTCCGATGTATCGGCCTCGCCGGGCCCTCCTGGTCTATGCAGCATGGCTCGGCTGCACGAGCACATCTCGCAATGCCGTGTGCCTGCCGTCTAAACTCGACTACTGCCAGCTACTGCTGTTGAAAGAAGCGCTGCTGACTAAGCAACCTTCATCTGGAAAAGCTGCAAATGCGATCGTTCAGAAGATGCGCTAGGCCGCTAGGCTGAGCCAGATGCAGTTGCAAAGCTGTCAATGGACCAGTCGATGCTTTGACTGCGACCTTCAGACCCTTGTGGCGACTGCAGCCGCTCCAAGCGTCGATCCACGTCCAGGGCATGCTGAAAGCTATTTCCAAGTCTTGCGATCTCGTTTGGAAAGCTGAAGAAAACATTCACCGATCTGCTGGCCAGCCAGATTGAGGACCTGACGGAGAAACTGCAGAGATTGCTTCCAAGGCTTGCAGGGCTCTGAGCTCACAACGGGGATTCGCTTCTGCGTTGGCACGGCGCGCCGAACCGTGAGCCGGGCCTCAGCCCCGACGAATTTGGCTCGTCCGTCTCTCAAGTCACTGCGTGCAAGAGCAAGGTCGGTGAATCTGTTTCTGACTGTGACACTGCCAGCTCTCGGGTTGCCGACACGCATAGAGTAGCCGCACACGGAACGAAGCCGTCACGGCGCAGCCTGTAGCTGCTTAGACAGAGCAACCGTCGCAGAACGTCCAAAACCGGCAACGTGCAGAGAACTTCGCTGTGCTTCCCATCATGGGCAGCTGCACTTGGTGCATTGTGCCTGGGGCCGCCAGGAAGTCCCTCGCCGAACTGCACCTGAAGCTGGCAGTTAGGGGCCAGCTGCAGAAACTATTGCACAGACCACCTGGTGCGGAAGCAGCTCGCAGGTATGTCCACCATGTCTCCATCCTCTCAAAATGGCACACCGACACGGTCTCCATACGGATGCATAGACAGGAGGCTCGGTAAGGCGGACAGCGAATCTCAAAACATGTCTAATTGGGATGGACAGCTTGAGGGGGTGGCGTGGTGGATGCCACGCTGTGGTCGTTCTCGAAACCTGTGGGCTGGCTCTGTTCCCATGCCGCATGGCAAACAACATGAAATCCGAACCTGCTTTTGCCGCAACCACCATTTGTGACAAGCGGAGAAACTGCAGAGATTGCTTCCAAGGCTTGCAGGGCTCTGAGCTCACAACGGGGATTCGCTTCTGCGTTGGCACGGCGCGCCGAACGGTGAGCCGGGCCTCAGCCCCGACGAATTTGGCTCGTCCGTCTCTCAAGTCACATTGCATAGCAAGGTCGGTGAATCTGCTTCTGGCTGTGACAATGCCAGCTCTCGGTTGCCAACTCGAGAGGTGACAGCTATTGCCGACACGCATAGTGCCGCCACACACGGAACGAAGCCGTCACGGCGGGGCCTGGAGCTGCTTCAGCAGCGCAGCCGTCGCAGAATTTCGAAAACCGGACCCTCAACGACCGGTCATCCGACTCCCGGCAACCCGCAGAGACCTTCGCTATGCTTGCCGTCAAGAGCAACTACACCGGGCACATTGTGCCTGGGGCCGCTCTGCGAAGGTCGGGCGGAGCTCAATCGATCAAGGGAAGGCGACAAGCCTGGCACAGAAGACCGACACCAGTTGGCTCAACATCGGGACACTTCTTTGC